GAAACTGCCTTCGTGATTGGGATATTTTTTTCTTGTGTGGGTGGTGTTTTTAGTGTATGTTAGAAATAAAGAGTTAAAAAGATATCTGTGTGTATAAAAGAGAAAAAGAAATGTCTATGTGTGAAGGAGGAAGAAGATATCAATGTCCGTAAGATAGAAAGAAAGAATGAGAGGAGGAGATAAGAAGTAATTTTTTTAATTACTAAACCATCTTTAAATTCGGTTAACCAGCTTTATCCAAACCGGTTGTTCTTCAAATTGGAAGGAGGGATTGAATTAGATTTTCCAATCCACAAACTACAAAAAAGTGTCATCTTATTTGTAAGTGTCAAAATTTATAATATATAACTTAAGAAGTGTCATCACGTGTAAGCGACTCTTATCAGAAAAACATGGAAAAACATAATGGGCTTGCTTGGTAAGAACTTTTGTTGTTAACTTTTACTTATGACTTTGGACTTTAAAAATTTTTGGCTCTAAAAATTGTTTCTTATTTTAAAAATAATAATTAATTTTTTCAATAATTATTTTACCCTACATTTAACAAAGAGTTTTAGATATTTCTGGAAAAGTATGGTAAAAAAATTATATAAATGGATCTAAAAAACAGAAAAAGGATATTATAATTAATCAATTCAATTTTGATAAATTATATAGAAATCTATAAATAAATTTGAATAATGGTAGAGGAAGAAAAGAGAGAAAGAAAAAAAATACATTTTTTTATTTTGATTTTATAAAAGTCTTTCATTTTAGAAACAAAGACAAAAATTGAAAAATGTGACTTTTAAGATTTCTCACTTAGAGCTTAGCAATGGGGTTTCTTAGGCAGAGTACTTAGGAATTATTAGCATTTAAATAAATACAAACTCCTAATTTAGCTAATTATCGATTTTTATTTAAGATTTTTAAGAATCAATGCTTAAGGACACATGTCAATATCTGATTGGATGAGAAACTGAGAAGAAAATTTTTTTTTCTTTGCTTTCTCCGTCGCCGTCATCGTCACTTCCCCAATCGATCTCTTCTCTTTATCATCTCTCGTCTTGTAATCGAAGAGTATGGAGTCATCGGATAAACACGACGACGTTTCTTAGCCCGGCAGAGGAAGGCGGAGAGATGGAGGTTCAGTTTTTCAGGCGGCTCGACGGAGAGTTCAACAAGGTTTTGAGGTTTTACTCTGTCGTCTTTAAGTTTTTGATTTCGTTTGATGGCTTGTACGAGAACTTGCATAGAGTCTGTTGGTTATAGCCTGATTAAGGGATGGTGATGGAGATTGATATCTAATCAGAGTTATTGGAATTTAGAGAAATGCATATGAAACTGGTCAAATTGCTGTTTTTTTTTTGGAGGTGTTTCGTCAATAGTTATGCAGAGCTGTTGAGATTTATACAAATGCATATGAACCTGGTGAATCTGGTTACAAGCAGAAAGTGGAGAATGTGATGGAGGAAGCCGATGAGCTTAGTAGACAATTAAACGTTTTGATTGCTCTTAGAGTTAAGGTTGAGAATCCAAATATTGATTTTCATCCTGACATTAATGGTGTCTCCATTTGGCTTCATAAACAAGATTGGGAACTTGATGTTCCTTTGTTGCATGTTTTAGTTTTAAGTTTTGGGAAAATCGAATTGGTTATTAAGAAGAGCATGGTTTGGTGATCATGACAGTTGAAATTTACAGAGAGAATCAAAGGTTTTGTGATGTGATTTCTGTATTTATAGGCATCTGCATCAGTTTAAGGCTGTTTTGAAGCTCATCAATAGCCCAGGGTTGATAGTTTTGTGTGTTGTTGATCTTCTGATCTTGTGATATATGTGAGTATATGATTAATGGGTTAAGTTTTTTTTGTAGGAGGAAATAGCTGATGAAGCAGAGACAGGGAAGATATATAAATCTACTTTGATCTTTATCTGGTTTTACCTTGAGTGTTTGCATTTGTCTGAAAAAGAAAAAGTTATACGTATATGCATTTGTCCGTTTTCAATCCATTAATAATTTACTTAATAACCAAAGCAGAGACAGGGAAGACAGGCTTGTTCAAATCGTCAAATGCAATGCAGAGTTTTTTGGCTTGGTCTCCTTTTTTTTTAAGAACCTAGTGGAATTCTTGCATTGGAGGCTACAAAATCTTGATTTTTTAATTAAAATTCTTAACTCAATTATAGTATTATTATATTGCTTAAGTACCCCAATAGAGATACTAGCATTGCTGATGCTCTTAAGTTCTGATTGGCGTGCAGGCTGTGACTTTTATGTGTTTAACAGTTTTTACATCAATTTTTTTTCCAATCAGATTTCTTAGACTTTAATATATTTTACAGTCTTTACAGCAGTTTTTAAAATTCTCTTTGTTATTTTCAACAACCTCTTTTTGTGGCTTTTAAAGTTTTTCTCTCATACTCTCTCTTTACGTAAGATTTTTTTTTCTCATTTCCTTAAGTCATCAATTCTATTATTGTTTTAACAAATTGTTGAAAAAATCAACTAACATCAAATACTCAAATTCCTACTCTTTATGTAGGATTTTTATTTTTTACATTTCCTTAAGTCATCAATTTTATTATTGTTTTAACAAATTGTTAAAAATCAACTTAGATCAAATACTCAAATAAGAAACATTCAAAAAAAAAAATTGAAAAAATGAAATACTACTATTTTTAGATCACGAACTCACTATAAATACATCGAGAAAGTTTTCTAAAAGCTGGCACATTCAAATGGTATAATTGATTTTCTTCTTGATATTTTTTCTTTAATATTTTCAACTCATAGATATCTTATTGATCTAAAACTTAATGTCATTACAGAAATGGCATCACTATCTTATTTATTATGTTATACCAATATATGTATGTTTTTTTGGGTTAAAATCTATAGAAAAAGATTACTTGGACTGATAACAAGACTCATATATTCCTTTCATTGTTCATCTCTGAACAAGAGGATGAGGGTTGGAGGGAGTTACTCTTAACGAAAGAGGGAAAAAATAATTTAGTTTCTAAATTTTACGAGGTAACATGATATAAGTTATCATGGAAAAAATTTAAAAATCATTACGACCACATGAAAACTCGTTACACTGCATACAAAAGATTATGCAACAAAACTGGAGTACATGTCGATTCGACTACTGAAGAAATTGATATGGAAAAAGAATGGTGGGATGACCGGTGCAAGGTAATTCTCATGTAGTAATTTGTATTCAATATGTTATTCAAAATTACAATATTCATTACTTAATAACAAAATATTTTTTATACGAAATTCTGGGAGCTAGTCTTATACAAAAAAGTCGTTGCAGGATATTGATATGCTAGAAATAATATTTTCAGACGGGTATATTGGAAGTGAAGATGGGTGGGCGGTTGGAAATGGTTCTGATGGGTATGTGCCAGTGGATGATACACAAACCGAGGCAGATGAATCTGATAAGGGTGAAGACGAGGAATCAAATTTTTGTGAAATACCAAGCACCCAAGATCGTACTCGATCAAACAAAACGCATTCAAACGTTAATGTTAGACATAAACGTAAAAGTTCAGGAAGCAGTGAAAAATCTGAAATTTCGATGGCATACGACCATTGATCGGAGACCATTAAATTTGCAGGAGAATCAATGAGTTCAGATAGAGAGAGTGCTGTATGTCGTATTCACCAGATCTCAAATTTGTAATATCACTCATCTCTCTATTGGTAAGTGATAAGCCTA